ACACACACACACACGCGCGCGCGCGCGCACACACACACACGTGTGTGTGTGTGTGTGTGTGTGTGTGTGTGTGTGTGTGTGTGTCAAATGCAACCCGCATCATTCTCGGCAGATTTTTTTGAACCTGTATCATTAAATAACCCCTAAATGAAACGTTCTAAGTAATTAAAAACTAACAGTATGAGGCCGAATGTCTTTTGAACATTCTATTACATTTCTGCTGGGGGAGGGGGCGATGAGAGGAGTGAAACGAAGAGAGAGAAAGGAAGATGACACGCAGAGCAACGTCTGCCAGGTACCACTAGTTATAAATAAATATTACAGTGAACTTTAGACCATTACATTGATGTAATTTGTGAAAAACAAAAGAAGACATCAAATTGGCATTTATGTCATGTTCAACAGTGCATTACGTGCATTAATCACTATTAGTCAGGCTCTGTTTGGCTCGTAAATTTGGCTCGTACAAAAAGTTCACACGGAAAATTTGGAGAAAATGTTCAATCGTACTTGGAAATGCAGAATTTTGAGCTCCTTTTCACTAAAAAAGTTTTGAGTTTTAAAGAAACTTCATTATTTGAAGCACATGCACTCATATCAAACGTACAATAATGTATACAAATCGCTGGTAATGTAAATATTGACGACCTGAGAGATATTTCAAACAAATTGCGTTTGTGAAATAAAAAATAAATAAAAGTATGCAGGGGAATGGGGTTTATGTTGCACACTGCATTTATCACTATCATGCATTTAGCACTAGCAAAAATGTTAAGCTATCTTTCAAAAAATCTTTTTTTAATACATTTTAATAGCATCTATATTTCACTCAAAGTTAAGCAAAAAATTACTAATATTTTCAAAAAAAATGTACATGTTTTTAAATACAGAAATAATTAGGAACAACAAATTTGATTTGAAGAAAATATCTCTTTATTCAATATTGTAGTTCAACAAAGACGCCAAAAAATTTAAACTTTCGCAATTTTTCGAAAATTCAGTTAACCGTAAAAAGCGAACCTGTGGCATCCTTATAAGTTTATTTCACACTATTCTTACAAGAAATTTAAAGCAAAAGGGCATCTTCAGTGGCGAGGTCTCGGACGAAGTGTCCGGGCCGGTGGCTGACTGGCGACTGACGCCGCGTTGGTCTCTGCCGCTCCATTTACAGGCCGCGGTTGGGGGTAGTGGAGGGGGCGGTTGCGCGCGCTGGCTTCTGATTGGCTGTCGCTGCGCGAACTGGTTTGTGATTGGGTATCGACCGAGATGGAAGTGGGGCAGGGGTTATTATTCTTGTACGGTTTTGCCTTGGTGTTTTGGAGTACGGGATGCCAGGCAGAACTAATTTGGACTCCTTCTTCTTTCCTGTTAAAATTGTTCGGGTTTTTGAAAATTTCTATGGCTTCCCGTTGTAAGCGGGCGTGATAACGGTTTGTAGATGATAAAATCTCGGTGTTATGGAACAAAATGTGGTGTTCTTTTCCCGAAAGAGCATGTTCAGCCACGGCGGATCTTTCTGTGTAGCCGAAGCGACAGTTCCATTTATGCTTCGTGAGACGAGTGTTGACAGAGCGTTGCGTTGTTCCTATGTAAACAGAACCACAGGAACAGGGAATCCTGTAAACACCTGCTGTCATTAACGGATTTCTTCGATCCTTTGCTGAACGAAACATGTGGAGCAGAGTGGTAGGCGTGAAAATTGTCTTGATATTGTGGTGCTTTAGAATCTTGCTGATGCGGTCTGTCACGTTTTTGAGATATGGCAGTGTAATGGTGTTGGTTACCTCATCTTCGGGGCGGCTGCGTGCGCTCTTGTTTGGATGTAGTGCTCTCTTTACTTCTTGGGATGAGTAACCGTTGGCTTGAAGAACATTCTCCTGGTGACCGAGCTCTTGGTGCAAGTTGTCTTCGCATATGCGTCTGGCGCGGTGGACAAGTGTCTTCATCATTGCCCTCTTTTGGCTTGGGTGGTGGTTTGACATTTTATTCAAGTATCGGTCTGTGTGGGTGACTTTCCGGAATACTTTATGGCCTAGGGATCCGTCTTCCTTCTTATTGACAAGTACGTCAAGAAAGGGCAGTTGTCCATTTTGCTCTTTTTCAATGGTAAATTGTATACGGGGGTGAATGCTATTCAGATGTTTTCGAAACTCCTCCAGTGTTTCTTCCCCGTGGCTCCAGATGATGAAGGTGTCGTCTACGTAGCGCAACCAGCAATTGGGTTTGCGTGGCGCGGTGTTTAGTGCTGTGGCCTCGAAGATGAAGTAACCAACACCATTACACTGCCATATCTCAAAAACGTGACAGACCTTCCCAGCCGTTCCTTACCTGCTGGGTGGACTTCCAGGCTACCTGCTGGGTGAGAGCTCTAATCTAGTAAAAAATGCTCGATTTTTAAGGGAAAAAGTAAAAATCCCCTATGTTTGATACAAAATTTCACAAAAAATACTCATGCTTTTGAAATATTGAACATGACTTTATTTGAAAATCTGTTTTTTATGAACACATTTCATTAAGGAAAACAAACTATCTTCATTATTGTCGTTCTAGGAAGACGCTGTAAAAGTTTTCATTTTTTTTTAATTTTTCAAAAGTCAGGTCTTTCAACGAACATGAGACCTGCGCTATTTTCTTAAACGTTCTTCCCTCAATCCAATAATAAAGTTTAATAAAAAACAATGGGGCCATTTTTTTCTGTTTTTGAAAATGTCCCAGTGGCTTTAAGTAAATCACGTTCCAAAACATGTTTCAAATTCAAGGGACTGCGATATCAATCAGATGGACAGGGATTAATTTTGGAGAAAATCAGCCAAATGGTTTAGCCGCTAACGTTGTTCACAGATGTTTTGCCGTCAATCGACTTTTTGGTATCAAATATCCACAAAACAGATTATGGCTACATCACGTGTTAGAGGACTTTTTTATAAATTTAGCAACTGGATTTAGTCCCATGTTTGTTACAAGGACCACTTTCGTTACCATTTTCTCTACCGCGGTAGCGGTAGCGAGAAAGTAAAAAATATTAAGCTTTTTTAGATTAATTTCCAGATTATTGAATCAAAACATGAGAGCCTGCCTATACATACAGGAAAAAGTGTCTGTTGTTTTTCAAAACGTTCGTCCATCTGTTGTATGAACAATACTATAGCATAAACTATACATAGTATTTCTTACAAACTGAATAAATCCCTGTCGATGTGCTCTCACTCAAAGCTCTGTGATTTTCAACACATTCATTAAATTTGAGGGGTATGGTACTATACATGAAGACCCTGAGACAAAAGTTTCTCAAAAATGGCTCCAAATTTCTTCTTTAAATATTTTGTAAGAATTTAGTGAAATATATTTTTAAAATGTGACATAGGTTTGATTTGCAATGTTAACTGTGAATTTTCGAAATTTTAAAGGATTAAAATTTTTTCGGTATTTAACAATTACAAAATTGATGAGATTGAGCCTTCAAATAAAAATTGTTTGCTTTAATTAATTCTTTATTAAGACCATGTTCGTTGTTTTTTGTTTTTTTTTTTTGTTGACAATTTTAGTAGTTTTCGCGCAATATTGGGTAAAATATGTGCAGTATTAAAAAATATCAAAAACAAAAATTTCTCAAAAACGGCTCCACATTTTTTTAAAAACTTTTAGTAGTGATAGTGCTAAATGTGCTGTATAAGAGGACATAAATGACAGTTTGCGGTTTTCTTTGTTTTTTCAAAAATTACAAAAATTTTATTTATTTAACATCTCTCTCACATGTTGATGTCTCAAAAGTGATACAAACATGAGCACAAACTTCCGCATTTTCAGAATCATTCAAATGCCATTTCCTCAAAAATAAGCCAAAATTGTTTCTTCAATTTTTTAGTTGTAGAAGAACGCTGAAAAAAATGCAATCTTTTGCGATTTTCAAAACTTTAGAGTTAACAGTGAAAATCGAATCTATGCCACCAAAGTGTATCTTACTCTATTCTCACAAGAAATTTAAAGAAAAAAATTGAAGCCACTTTGTAGAAAATCATGAAAATGTCTCAAGGGCTTCATGTAAAGTACCCCCAAACATTAATGAATGTTTTTGAAAATCACAGAGCTTTGAATGAGGCCAAATCAACAGGGCAACAGAACAATCAGTTTGTTAAAAATTCTACATGTAGTTTAGGTGCTAGAGTTGTTCACAGATGACAGACAGACATTTTGAGGAAAAGCACGTTTTTGGTATCAAGGGATCCCAAAAGTGTATTTTCGTTTCAATCTCAAAATCAATTTTCAGCAGCATTATATAGGTAACTTTCTATATACTATGTTTATTACTCTGTAAATAAGTACATATATGAGAAATTAAAAATGTACTTTGAGCGGCGATAGATGGCAGCTGGCAAGAAGATGAGGCAAGATCGAAAAGCTAACCCAGACCAACGACATTAGAAAACTATCTAGTGTGAGAAAGTCTGTGCCATTTTGTATCACCACCAGTTTCTTTACACTTTTTGCTTGAAAAGAAGAAAATGCATTTATAAATAAAGAATTGTTTATCATGTTATCTATGTATATTAAATATAGAATCTCTGAAATTTTGAATATTGCAAAAGTTTAAATTTATTTTTGAACCTGTTCTACGCTCCCAATAATAGAGTCAGAGATGTCTTTCTCATTACAAGTTTATATCTTTGAATAATGTTATAGACATAAAAAAAAGAGTAGTTGAGTAATAACACTAAGAGAAGAAACAGTTAAGCTGTGTCATGCATTCACACTAAATTTAGAAATTCTCCAAAAAAAAAAGATTGGAACAGTTTTGAGAATATTTGATTTGAATGTTTTTGAAATTTCCAAATAACTTTCCAAACCAATTTTCTTTCAAAATAATTTTAAAGTGTTTTTTGCATTATATTAATCTTGTTATTAATTTCAGAAATTTGTATTAAAGGAATGGCAAAGTGTTACACTTTTATTTATTTTATCACTAATATTTTATACATATATTACATAAGAGCATCTTGCAGGCAATGACTTGGCTCGTGTTTTGCGTTGGGGTCCGGGCTACACTGGTGGAGAAGATCCTCTGAATTTACTGAGAGATGTTATTGATGCAGAGGAGATTCGTTTGGATCGTTGGACAGTTGTTTTCCATCCTGAGGATCCAGACAAAGGTGCTTCTGTGACTGTGGTAAATTCCACAGGTAAGATGCAGGCTTCTAGTGCTTGGAATGCTTTTATACTGTAGGTGTAAAAGTATTGAATTAGATGTTTCTCAAGACTTTAGAGATTACTTCTTACAGAATGTAATATTAAGGTTTTCTTTTTCTTTTCAACAGTATGCACTTGAAATAAAATATTTTAGATATATTTATCATGGTCAATGGTGTTCCGTTTTGTAAATCTGATAGTTCCAATATGTTCATTTATTCATTAATTTTGTTGTAATTCATTCTACTATTTGTATTTCAGCATGTTTATCATACAATTAATTTCAAAATGGGAACTATGATATTCGGTTTTATTGTAATCTGCACTAATAATTTATTGTATTGACTGCAGTCCATCTGGCTGAGATTTGAGCAATGGCCATTTTTATTTCTGTGCATTCCAGTTTATTCAAGCAAGATAACATAATGATTTTGAGTTCTATACCCAGAAGATGGACTATTGATTTGAAACTTTTGAGCAAGAGCTGCTTCTTTCCTGACTCTTTTAACTTCATGACTATCCACTTCTTTATTCTCATTTAAATTCCAGAGAAGAAGATGATTTAGAATTACAAAACATTATCAAAGAAGATTTAATTTTTAAAAATAAAAATAATATTCTTGAAGATTTTGATTTGTATGACAGAAGGCATGAAGTTATATTTTAACAGTATTAAACAGCTTACAGGTCTAATGTACGAGGAACAATTAATATTACTCAGTCTCTATGTGTTTAAATATTCCTCTTATTCATAGAATATTGTGAAGCACAGGAAGAAAGTTTTATTTCTAACATAATGGTTATTTAACTCTTTATTTTATAACAAAGGGCATCATCTGTTGTTTGTTGTAAAATTTACATATGTTTGTTAACAAATAAAATTGTGTCAGCCACTTTTACTAACATTCTCTGAGAGGGTTGCTAAGGTGTAAAGATCTTAGACACACATATACTGAATAGCTGTTATTTCTCTGCAGATCATCCTCAGACAGAGAAAGTTAAGGGTTTGCCTGCTAGAGGGAGTTGGAGGAGGGGGGTGTGCGGTATGTATACTTGGCTCTGAAAATTGGTGCCTAACTCAGTTGATGTCATGTCTTCTTAACCCTTTACCTAACTTCCTGCAGGTCACTTTTGATCCCATTGTCTGTTGTGTGGTCTGTTAAGGTACACTGATACACTAGTAGTAACAGAACCCGTCTGTCAATGGGGCCCGTCCATGCAGGTGTTCTCTCTTCTTTCAGACGCCTGTAGGCTCTGGTTTGTCATACCCATCCTCTGATTTAAGTTTCCCAGGATGAATTTGGGGTCCTGTGTAGCAAAGTTATAGGAGACTAGCAGTTGATACTGAAACCAGGAGCCGGTGGCTGTTAGAAGGATCCCGATCCTCTCCTACTTGCTGTCAGTGTGCCTGCTTGCTGCTGCCTGTTGCCTCTTTATGTTGTGAGTCATATTGTTGTCTCAAAAGGGTCAAGGAAAGTTCCTTGAAATACATTAACTTGTCAAAACAACAATGCTGTTTCTATTAAATACCAAGTGCTTTGGGAAGGAGGAACATTTATTTTAATGCATCATTTTAGTTTTTAAGAGTTAAAGCTTGGATTATTACTCAATATCTTACATGCTGCAGGAGAAAGCTACATCTACCTCAGATCATACAGTCTGTATTTTTAATAGAAGAAAACAAAATAGAAATCATTTTAAGATAATAGTATTACATATTTCATTCCTTACTAAACTTACTGAAAAAATATCTGAAGCAAAATTTATCTAATTTCCTTTACTTGCTCATGAGCTTTAAAAAACATAAAGGTGTAGCAATCACTGTGCAGTAAGCATGTTTATGCTTATGATGTAGAATTTTCTTTTACAAGCAATAATGAAAGGAAATGATTGTGGTAGTTACATAGCATGTGTTTTCAATAGTTCTCCTTTTCTGAAACTTTAACTAATCTTATTTTGTGCTTGAAGGTAGAAAACAATGTGCTATTTTAGAAAATTATCTCTTTGATTCTCATAAGTCTGTTCTTTTCATAATTATCCATTAATGAAAATCTCCTATCTTATTCCTGGCTTATATGATGTGTGGTTGCTGTTATGTACATATTGAAAGTAATATGTAGAAATACTTACATATCATGGGAGTAAGTACCACGATTTAATATTGTATTGAGATTATTTTCTCAGTTTTTAATTTTTGTTTAAATTTTGTTGAATGTAGCTTTGCATACACACTGTTCTTTAAAAAGTTGTGTTAGTGTAATGTGTTCAATAGTACACTCCCATTATCAGTATGTTTTAATGCTGTAAAATGTGTATCTCTTTTCTGTTAAATGTGATAATTTCTAAATTATAGAATTATTTTCAAAGTATTGAATATGGTAAAATATTTTTAATTAATAAATGATTATATTATGTTCTGACATGTTTTAGTACGTGTCTTTGATACAAAAATCTAACTTCTCTTTGGCTCCTCTTCCATCAGGTGCCTTCTTAAGATTAATAATGGTTGTGATGTCTTTTCACAGATTAGGTGAAATTTAGTCTTCCAAGTTAAGATGATATTTATCAAGAGAGGAAATGTGTGTTGAGGTTGTAGAATTTTAGAATTGCAAAGTGAGAAATTCTACATATTGCTCATTATGAAACATTCCAGAATTAGATGTTTGATAGCTCCAGTGATCAGTACCTCATTTGCATTTAATGCATCTTGTACATAGTGTATGTTTATGCAACTTGTTCATTTTACAATAATTTTATATTAATTTGTAATATTTTTATTGCTAATAATTATTAATGGGGAAAAGCAGGTGCATTTTGACTTTTCGGTTATACACTGCATGTTTGTCTCTAGTATGCAGTGCTTGCTCAATGCTTTAGAGATTGAGACTGAAGAAAATTTAGTGTAGTGGGTAGATTCCTTTCGAAGCTTGCAATCAAAACCACATTCTGCTTGTATTACATTGACATGATATTTCCGTGTGAAGCACTTCTCGTGCAATATTGCAATATTTGATAAAAACATTTTATCTGCATGCTTTTTTGGGGGGGGATATAGAATTTTCACAATTCCAAATGAAATGACTGCTTTGAGAGTTTGGGCAAATATAGATTGCAATTCATGATTCTTTTCAATTCTTCACTGATAGGCAACCTTAACAGTCAGTTTTCTTCTTAATATGCTCCATAACAAAAATGATAGGTAATCTGTGTTGTATTATCTTTAATGTTTATTTATTTATGGTTGCAGGTTTCAAGGTGTGTCATTTCTTCTCCCTTTCTCTACTATTATAATAGTTGTTTCTTCTATATTTTTCTGAAAGGCTCGTAAAAGTTTCTGACAAGACGCTACCATTATTCACTAGTGAATTTGAGGGGAGAACAAGCATTTTGTTCAGAAGTCGAAATTTATTATGACTTTTAATTCTATCAAAAATACAATATCTGATTGAAGATACTTTTGAAATTGAGGTTGTTTGTTTGTTTTCCAAAAAGGAGACATTTTCAATGGTTTCTGTTGTTGCCAATATCATGGTTTTGGATGTTCAGATGATTAACTTGTCGGTAGATACTTCATCACTGCTTCTGTCCTTTCAAGCAATATCAGTTAAAACGTAGGACCAACAGATCAAGGCTGAGGATCACTCAATCAACAAAGAATACTAGATTTATTTGTTTTTCCTTTGTGCAGACAGAAGCATTTTGTAAAGACTTTTCTTTCTGATTTTATTCTCAGATATTTTATGAAGGTAATTCTTTTTCTATTGGAAATGGGAGCCTAATATTAACAATATTTCTCATTCAGTGACTTTCTGATTAGATACGGCATAATAAAACTTATACAAGTCATTAGTAAATTGTGAATGATGTTGATTTTTTGTCAAAAGAGTAAAAATTGTTATCACAAGATTTTTGTGAGAATGTTTTAGAACAAAGAAATAATGACAGATGCATGGACAGATAAATGCATAAGTGATCTAAATATGTGCTTTGAACTTCCAATAATGTTTTAAATATTTTATTATAAAACATGAAAAATATTTTAACTTTAATGTTTTTAATTGTAAGGGTTATAGATTTTTCCTTTTAATTTTTAGTACATAAGTTGCGTATTTTGATTTGGTTTTACAATTTAGTCCTATTTAGGTTCTATAATATAATAGTCTCACCCTGGACACTTGCACAGATGGAAAGAGGAGTTTAAACTGAAGTTGACATTGATAATTTATTGTACTTTTTTTTTTTTATTGAATAACATGCAGCTGATTTCTTAAAGCTTAAAAATGTCTTTAAAATGTTGCTTGTTGAGATATTGAATAACATACTTTATTGCTCACAAACAGTGCATACTTGTTTGTTTCAGCCGGATCCACCAATGAGGATAATACCCAGATTTTTGTTATGAATAATTATTTTGGAATTGGAATAGATGCTGACCTATGTTTGGATTTTCATAATGCTCGGGAAGAAAATCCAAGTAAATTCATCAGCAGGTGTGTTTCACTTTTAATTTTAGTATGTTTCTTAATTGCATCTACTTTGAAAGGCTGAAGATCATTTTTCACACATTACAAGTTCTAAAAATACTGAATTGCCTCTTTATGTTTGCATTATTTCTTTTCCGAAGAATAATTTATTCCAGAATGATACTCAACATGCTGTAATAATTCCTTCACAATTTATAATATCCAATGAATACTCTCAAAATACTGTTTGTATGAAAATATAAGCATTAGTTACTGTAGCCAGAATTTTCACGAGGGAAGTAAAAGAACAAAAAGAATTACTGTTTTTAATGAAGCAGAAGAAGCAAGAAATAACAAATAATACAATAATTACATAATTAATAATAATAGCTTATTAATTTAAATTAACTTTTCTAAAATCAAAATTATCATTAACCCTTCAATGTGGTGCCAAAGGTGAACATGACAGCATTGCAAGGTGGCCTTAAGTGAGAGGTGCAGTCAGCGGTACTGCAGGGGTGGGTAGCAATCTGAGCGCATCCGGCGAGGCCTGCTGCGGGAGCATCTCAGCTCGGGGCGGTGCGCTGCAAACTCTGAAAACGTAATGACTTTTTTGAGTTCATTCCCTTGGAAGGTGCTTATCGTAGAAATAGACTTTTTATCCATCCATTTTAACACTGAAATGGGGACCAAAAGTTGGGCAATGTACTCACCTTGCTTCAATTTTTTTTTCCACCATATTTTAGGAACATATTTTTATTCAAACATATTGTTCCTACACAACTTGTTCCCATATTTTAACATCGCAGCTAATGATGGGGAGTTGTAGTAATTACCCATCCATAAAGTGTGGCGCTTATTTAGCAATATCTGCATTAAATTACAGGCAATTTGTGTCATTTTATTTATAGTATGTCTGACAGTTGCAGTCATTACATAAAAAATAATTTGATCATTTGCAGTCATGTGATATGTACATAGAAGACAATGTTCAGAAACCTTTAATCTATATTAAAATATTTGTATCAAAAACCACACGAATGGAAACTGAAAACTCACTGTATCACACTGCTTGGCTGTGCACGGCACAGCCAAGCAACCAGTGTCTGTACACGGAACACTGCAAATGAGAGAAAAGACAAGTAAAGGTCCCTTCCATCTTGAGATTTCTTACCGTGAATGGAAAGGAAAATCCAACCTGTCCAGGTATGGCATACCATGTTAAGAAGAGAAAGGAAATTGCCATCTACAGATGGCATACCACACTGAAGGGTTAATAACAAATCTTGAAAAAAGGAAAATATTTGTTTAAATAAAAGAATAATTAATACATAAAGAATAAAAAACATACTACTTTCACCAGAGAGGTGGAAGAGTTGGTTTCACCAACTGATGTAACAGCATAACTTCTGAACGGGAAGTCCTAGGTTTAAATACTGACAGTGGAAGGATTTTCAACACTACCTTGTTAGCTAGATCACATTCAGTTGCTGTCATGGATTGCATACAAATTTTCCTTCCTCCTTCTTTTATCCTATCTTTACCCCTTACTTACCCACTTCCACTAACAAGCACTACACTACCACACATACCGGGAGATCAGTCGTGAGCTTAGAGCTTGTCCTGGCTGGGGCTAGAGGGAGATACCTGTTTGTGGGAAACCTCACTTGCCGATGGTAGGTCGGTGCCAGATCTTACCATCCAGCAGGGGAAGATCACTGCTACCTCCTGAGAAAAAAACATGTACTATACTTAATGGACTAATGACATGTTAACGTGCCCAGAATCACTAACAATCAATCATCATACTATTTTATTTCTTAATAATATTACATTTTTTCAGACAATACTTTTAACTTTCTCACATGCTACTTACGGAATATAGAGAAAGTATTGTAATGCTGCAAGGAAAAATGGCAACCTTTCAACAGAAAAAATCTTTAACCTGGTAACAAAAAAAATTGAATGAATCACGTTCCTGTACGTAGCAAATCACTATGATATTGATATATCACTTTGAATAATGATATTGTCCTTTAACACATTATGATTCAGAATCCATGTTTTTTGGGTTCTTGATACCAAAAAATCAATTGACAACAAAATGTCTGTCTGTCAGTCTATCTGTTCATGATCAACACTAGCACCTAAACTATTCAGACTATTTTCTCCAAAATTAATATTCCGTAATTGATATGAACAAAAGTGAGGCCTTGCGACTTTGAAATGGATATTTTGATTTTGCGAGGCACTTTACATGAAGCCTTAACAACATTTTCAAAATTTTCTCAAAAATGGGTCCAAAGGATTTTTGGTTATACTTTGGCCTTGAATTGCATAAAGAATTCTTAATAAATGGCTTGGGTTATTTTTTCCTCTTAATCCCTGATTTTTTGAAATTTGCCAAAGTTCCAAATTGTTCAGTTTTACAACTATAATATTAACGACAGAATTTTTTGCTTTGAAAAAATCTGTTATTCAAAGACTGGACTTGAAAGGAGGTCATTTACCGTTTTCAAAAATATGAGTGTTTTTGCAGAGGCAACTTTAAAACTTTTAAACCTCATAAACAGCTCCAAATTTTTTTCTTCACTTTATCTCCTTGTATGTAGCAAAGAATGGTAAAGAAAATGGTGCAGGTCTCATTTTCAGCAAACTCTGTTTTTGAAAATTGCAAAACAAAATTGTAAAAGTACAATGTTGATAATTGAGTTTTGTGAGTTAAATAAAATCTGTTCTAGCAAATCAGTTATTTTAAAATGTCAGGTACAAGTTTTCAAAAATATGAGTAATTATTTGTAAATTTGCCAATCCAGATTTCCCACATGTCTTTTGCTAGCAACTTTCAGAAGTTATCACATTGCAATACAGTAATGAAAACTTTGTGACATGGCAGTTTAAAATTTTCAGAATAACTTCTCATTGTTGGGCTGTTTTTGGGTGCATGAAACCATGTTTAGGGTTGAGGTATACCTTTAAATGAATTAAATTTCCATGCCTAATGCTCTAGTATTGGTAATGATCATAACTCAACGATCTAAATTTTAGAAGTAATGGCTTGTAGTTACATAATCGTTACAGATGTAAGAAAGTACATGCTGTTGAAGCACCACTAGCTTTGAATATAATTGAAGAAATATATTTTTTCAGAAAATCCCAGACACTTATGATAGATTAAAAATATATTTCTTCAATTATATTTTAAACTAGCGGTGCTACAACAGCATATACTTTCTTGCATCAGTAATGAGTATAAAATGATAAGGAGAAGCAAAGGATAATTTGATACAAAAACATTAATTGTATGGTCAAAATGTATGGGACAATATTGGGAGACGTGCAATATACAACACACAATCTGCAGACACTATTGATTTATTAAGACACAAAGTTCACAGCATGGGAATCTTCTCATAGAGTTCAGGGACACTTAACTAAGTTTGATAAAATACAGACAAGACTTTCTGTACTAAATAACCGAGTTCTAATGGTGACTTATGTGCATGATTTTTGCAAACTTTTGGCTATATTTATGTTACATGACATGATTTACGTGATGATGACAAAACATGGCATAAATTGCCATAATGATGCTTTAACTATGAATTACATGTAACAAATAGAGGTGATGTATCTGCTGCAATTGGTATGTTATCAAAGTTAAAGGTATATTCTGATAGGGGTTAACAGCAACAAAAAAGTATTAGGTTTTTGCAAAATAATGACATTTCAAAGTCTAATCAATTTAGGTTCATTAATTCAAAAAGAGATTATGACAGGAAATGTTTTTCTTGCGGTAAAGTAAGTCATTAATCAAAATTTTATAGAACAGATTTAATTTGTTTTGAATGTGTAAGTAAAGGATCGATCAAATGAATGTATAAATAAAAATAAGGGAAAAGATTTAGCAATACTGATGACTTCTCAATCAATTGACATTAATATACCTGCAATTAAGAAAAAAATATAGATATAAGCAATTATAATTTTTCTTGTGAAGAAATGAAATATGATAAGTGGTATGTTGGTAGTGGAGCAACTCATCATGTGAGATGTGGACAAGATTGATATGAATATCAAACATTTAATATGCCGAAGGAAGTATATAGTGCGAAGAGTGGTGTTCAAATTAAAGCTCTTAGATCAAGAAGAATTGATGTTTTAGTACTTCATGGACACAAATGGATAAAACAATATTTTGAAGATGTTTGGTACAGTCCAGACGGAAGCTGTAAAGTATACTCTACAGAAAAAAGGTTCACAGAGAGGTATTGATTAAGTAATTCTTAATGATTGTAAATCTTGGATATTTTTTAGACATGATAATCCAATGATGTCGTAGGCTTCCGCGGCCAGAGTCATGATCTGGGCTGTCCGGGTGACGCCGCATCGATGGCTGATGTGCCGATGTTTTGACCGACATGTCGCGGTCCTCCCCTGAGAGGACAGCCCTTGAAGCCCGTACAGCCACTGAAGAGGACCGTGACATGTTGGTCGAAACGTCGGCATATCAGCCATCGACGCGGCGTCACCCGGACAGCCCAGATCATGATAATCCAATTTCTCTTGCTGTATCTGATGTTAAAAATTAATTATATCAATTGATTGTCAAAGTTGTTAGTAAAGAAAGAAGTTGTATAATGGCTGAAGGTGTTCAAGAACTTCAGGTTTGACATTGGTTTGGCAAAAATTTGGTAATCATGATAAACGATACATCACACAATTTTTTAATAAATCAAGGAATAGAAACGAACTTAAAGTCAATTTTGTAAACGACATTTTCATGGTAATCATCATCAATTGATATTTGGCAGGATTCATAAACCTATGAAACTGGGAGAAATGATTTATTCTGATGTTCAATGGAGAACATTTACATGGTTCTGTTTGGTAGTTTTCAATGATAGTTTTCGAATTTCATGTTATTAAAAGAAAAGGAAATGTCTGTAAATGGAATGTCAACATCCAAAGCATGAAGTTAAGTTGTCTTTAATGTCAAAAGAATGAATTTTAAGAATAATTACTTA